ACAAAATCTAGAGTTTTTGTAGCGAAATAATCCTTTAGAGATATATAGTACATGATTTTGAAAAGAAGTGTTGATCTTTCATTCAGTTATCGCTTTTTCAATTATGTATTCAAAATAAATGCAACAAGTTAGATTTTTTTATCGTTTTGATACTAATTCTGACATTACAAGCCAAACAGGTTGACCTCTATACTTGCAATTTTTTCAAAGTTGACCTACCTTCTCTTCATTGTACCATGCATAGTCGTATATTTCATGTTTCCTAAAATTGCAAAATGTAGAATACTTTATGTATGTATGGAGTTTGGTTTAAATTTGAAAGTAATGTTGCTTTTCCCACGATTTTGTAGTGATTGCTTGTAGTGCTGAGAGATTAGGATCTACAGCTAAAAACCATGGTACAATGAAGAGAAGGTAGGTCAACTTTGAAAAAATAACATAGACAACATAGAAAAAATAATAGTATAGAGGTCTACCTGTTTGGCTTGTAATGTCAGAATTGCTATCAAAACAATAAAAAAGCAAACAACTTGTTGCATTGATTTTGAATAAATAATTTAAAACCGCGAAAACTGAATGATAGTTTAAAATTTATTTTCAAAATCATATTCTATATATCTCTTATGGTTTATTTCGCGACAAAAACTGTGGATTTTGTCGATGCATATGTTGTAATAAGCATTTTGAAAACACCCGAATTTGAATATTTTCTGAAAAATTTTTTATTATTGAAAAGAATACGCACACATAAACAAATGAAGTTGACATATTAAGCCAGAAAAATAAAAAAATTGAAATCATATGGTAGTTCTGCCCTACCTTGAATTCATTGTACCATGCTAAAAACTATACATTTCATATAACGATATGAAAGCATTCAAATTAAATAATTGAGGAACAATGCTTCTGCATTTTAAATTTAATAATCCAAATTCCAAAAATGTATATGTTTGAATTTAAAATAATTTATAGAAAATATATATATATATATATATATATATATATATATATATATATATATATATATATATATATATATATATATATATATATATATACATGGTACAATGATATCAAGGTAGGGCTATGATACCATATGATTTCAATTTTTTTTTATTTTTTTGGCTTAATATGTCATCTTTATTTGTTTATGTATGTGTTTTCTTTTCAATAACAAAAAAATTGTTCAGAAAACATTCAACTTCGGATGTTTTCAAAATGTTTATTTCATCGTATGCATCGACAAAATCTAGAGTTTTTGTAGCGAAATAATCCTTTAGAGATATATAGAACCTGGTTTTGAAAAGAAGTGTTGACCTTTCCTTCAGTTTTCGCGGTTTTCAATTATTTATTCAAAATAAATGCAACAAGTTGTTTGATTTTGTTATTGTTTTGATACTATTTCTGACATTACAAGCCAAACAGGTAGACCCCTATAGATGCAATTTTTCCAAAGTTGACCTACCTTCTCTTCATTGTACCATGTATATATATATATATATATATATATATATATATATATATATATATATATATATATATATATATATATACAATAATGACTACATTATAATGACTCCAATTTTGATTATAAGTAATGACTCCATGACTAAATATAAATTAATATTCATAGCAAAAATTATAATTACCGTCGGTTTTGAAAATTTTGAATAGCCTGATCTTATTTTTCAGCTATAGGCTTTAATTTGAATGTTAACTACCTATATGATAAAGAACATCTATAATAGCCTCATGTGAAAAACCAACGTTTAAAATCTCGTACTGCGTGGTATTTAGTTTTGTCCACCTCATACTTGAATGCAGAATGTTGTCAGAATAGCCAAAAAAATTACTCTTTTGCTCCGATTACCATAAGATGGGCATTAATTGTTTGTCATTTAAATTGTGCGGCGGAGAACCAATAAAGTTACTTTATAATTTCGTATTTGTTTCATGTTTCTGCCACAATTTCCGACTGAATTAGTCCCAGATTGATATTTCGGAGTTTATTTCATATAGACGTACATCCCAAATCTACGTTCACAACCAATATTCTCTTGGGGGTTACAAATTCAATAGAATACTAAATTTTCTTTTCTGATAACACATTGGTTGGGAAAGTGGACTTGGGGGTATACTAATGTGGTGACTATACTTAAATAAATGCCTATGTGGATAATTATCTGTAAGATGATTTTCTACACCAGGTAGCCTCAAGACTAAGATGCGCCCTTTTCAGAAAAATAAAAAATTTTATAAGAAGAGGTTTTCTTCCCCCTTAGAAACAAAGATGTCAAATAAGGGCAAAAAAATTAAAAAAAGTGACCAAGACCCCGAAAATAGCTTAAATCATATGATGGTGATACCAAAACGTAATCATTTTTTGCAAAGATGGTTTCTTCTTAAATTATCAAGATAGCTAAAATTAGAACGAAAAATATGGTTAGAATGTAGAATATACTTGAAATCGGGTTGTTCCGTTATCGGGGGTTATGACCCATATCATGACCTGCCAAAGCGATTAAAGGTATCTTGAATGTTTAGGAAGAATTTCAATTTTGCGTCCTTTATAGTCGGTATTTGACTGATTGCAGTCCCAATGTATTTTGCATTTTGTGTTCTCATTTGACAATTCATTGTCATATGAAAGAAGCAGGTCCACCTTTTTAAATGAACCCCCTAACGCTTTTTGGGTCATTTTTGTTTGTTTAAATGTATTCTCATCTTCCAGCTGAAGCACGATGTAGGGCCTGGAGTAGAAAGCATTTAACATCGTATTGCGCCCTCATTTCATTTTTATTGTTATTCATTCAGAATTCAAAACAATAAAAAATGTACACTTCAATATAGAAAAAAAGAAAAAGAATCTTCAACTGGTTCGCTGATTTTTTTGCGGCGAATTTTTAAAGGTCCTTACGAAGTTTGTCGGTAGAATGTACTATTATTTTGAAATTCGATTCCGTTGAAAATTGTCGTTTTTTCCCGATTTTAGAATTTTCATATAAAGCGACAACGGATAAAACTGTTATTTATAGATTTATCCATTGTGGCTTTATACTATCCAAAAAAAAACCTACACATCATATTAGAATTCCAAAAAAAAAACTCTACAAATATACATTCGAAAATAGTAAGTGAAAATGGAAAAGCAATATGTAATATAAAACATTACTATTGTACATTTTACAAAATCAAAATGTTCAAATTTCACATTTTTACGCATTTTTTTTTTTGGATTTTATTCTTTTCTGCCAAGAGGCAATTCCAAATTTGTCTGAATCGTTAAAATCAGACCGGCGGTCTTTATGTTATAAGAGTAGTGACTAACGCAACTTTCTTTTACATATAGAGAGATAGATTTAAAAGTAGGCGCGTTCCTCAGCCCCTACATAAGTACTTAGGGTTGGATGGAAAGCCAACAGCATCTCGTGTAATAATTCTCAAACCGATATCTTCATTATTTTGGCAAATATAAGGATTTTAGATAAATCAAAATAGTGGGCGTAAAAGTAGTCGTGGTCATACATACGGGGTATGGCGAACTGATTCCATTACCAACGAACAACAATTGATTTATATATATATATATATATATATATATATATATATATATATATATATATATATATATATATATATATATATATATATATATATATATTGAATTTGTGAATGAAATTTTTGACAATGAGATGTCAAACGAAATGAGCCATGAGTTTTACCTTCTTGACAAGCCATATTTAATTTAATTCTTATAATTTTTTTATTTTACATAATCAAAAACAAGTTAAAGGCAGTATGTTCGGGCGGGCCGAACTTTGAATACCCTTCACCATTTGGAAGGAGTTAGGAAATTTTCAAAAAAAATAAAATCCTTTAAAAAAATATTCTGTTAAAATTTTTAAAATACCAAATATAGCCATTATATAGGGTCTATACGATGTGAACCTACATATGCATTGTTTGTCATAAGCCATTACCATATTCAAATTCGAATCTTGAAATAAACGGTGAATAATGTTGCTAAAATCATCAAAATACCGTATATAGGGAGGTACCGTTATATCGGAGCTGTGCGAAGACCTGGACCAGCATAGACGATTTTTTGTCACAAGCTGTAGCATCCATTACGAACTTCAAATACCACATCTCAAACAATTTTGGTGGGTATTGTACCTAAAATCGTCAAAATACCGAATATAGGGAGGTACTGATATATGGGGCCTATACGAAGACCTGGACCTGCATAGACAATTTTCTGTCACAGACTGTAGTTCCCATAACGTAATTTGAAACAATTCTGGTGAATAATGACGCTAAAATCATTAAAATACCGAATATTGGGAGGTGCCGTGGGGGCTATCAAAGACGTGGACCTGAACAAACAGTTTTCTGTCTTAAGGTGCAGTATCCATTTCGAACTTCAAATACTAAATTTGAAACAATTCCTGTGAATAATGTCGCTAAAGTCATAAAAATACCGAACATCGGGAGGTACCGTTATATGGGGGCTACATGAAATCGTGGACTTACGTGGCCCATTTACGAACTTAACCTGTCTACTGGAAAAATAAACATGTGTGCAAAATTTTAGCCTTATATCTCAATTCATTCGAAAGATAGCGTGATTACAAAAGACAGACAGGCGGACATAACTTATATAACTTCATAATCGACTTAAAATTTTACGCTGATCAAGAATATACATACTTTGTTGGGTCCGACATGGGTATTTCGAGGAGTTACATACGGAATGACAAAGTTAATATACACTCCATAGTAGGGTGGAGGGTATAAAAACCAAGCCTTCTGAATGGTACACATTCAGCGAACAACGGTGTTCAAATCCTAATGAGAACATGACATTACGCTCACTTGATGGAAGGAAAAACGATTTATCTGTCCGATATATTTCTACCATCATCTGGAAAGTGTACGATATTCGATTGTTAAAACGACACACCAATCGATATTGAGGCAGGAAGGAAAGAATCGATACTATCGATAAACATAAATTCGTTTCTGTGCGTGTTGCGTGTTTTTTGATGAGAAATAAATCAAATTTAATTAAAATTGTTTTGTTAAAGTATCTTTAAGAACCTACCATCGTCGTTAAACAGTGATTCCGTTCATTTAAATTAAGTTCTTTCCGTAATTTGCAAAAATCCATATCAATTTCGAACGTCCAATTTAATTTAGCATTAGCAGCACACAACAACAACAAAAACCCAAAATACCTGCAAACTCGGAAAAATACAGTGAAAGAATAAGAAGAAGCAGCAGCAGAAACAGAAAAGAAACGAAATCGAAATGAAAAAACCAGAAGTCACAGTAAAAAGAAGAATGCCATAACAAAAGAGAGTACAAACAATTTCGTGGAAAACTCGAAAATAAAATGGACAGAACAGAAGAAAATCAAACGACGGAACCTTGTTAATTACCAATTAAACAAAACTATTAAATAGACTGACTGTGTGAATGAAACTGATCCGAAAATCAAAAAAGCAAAGTGTTAACCAAACCGAAATAACGCCCTCCCTCCGACTAATGGTGCTATGCTACAACGGCAACAACACAACCAAACCTAGACCGACCTGCTGAAGAAGACAAGACTACCTACCTGTCCGACTCCTACCCCCCTTCTCTGCGCCGAATGACGTTGCATTAGGTTTGGCTCAACAATTCGTGACCAAGGGAAGCAATAACTTAATTCAGCGCCAGTCGTGGGTGTCTTTTGGCAATTGTCAGGAAAATAACCATATTCGTTTGTGGTCACCTCCAAGGCTGAAGGATTGGGACGAGATCAATTGCCACAAACAGTTGCAAAAGGAGCCAGACGGACGTACGACGACACACAACCATCTTCACCATTGTCATCATTGTCCTTTTCCCCACAAATCCCCCACACTTGCTAGAGCAACACACTGCCCACTCTTCTTGGCTCCTTCTTGCCCTGCACCGCACACATTTGTACGACTGATATGATATTTGATGTGCGTGTGTGTAAGTGAAAGAATCCCAAAATTGTCATTTATTTTGGATGTGTTTCCTTTTGCCGTTTGTCACCAGTTATTTTATTGTTGTCTTTTTAATTTGTTGAAAAATCTATAAAGGAGAGCAGGCAGCAGCAGTACTTATTGTTGGCAGTGTAGGTGGCGTGGTATTCTTTCTATCTGCTACTGCTGCCACTTTATGACAGAGCCGAGCTGGTGCCTGCCTGTCCCACTGCACACTCATTGTGATGAAAATCTGATGAGCATCGAATCAAAATGAGAAACAAATTTCCTTGTGTTCCATCGGTGGTATCGTTACAGCAATTATCCGTTTCCTCTCTAGTAACAACAAATGAAAAGTTGTTTAACTGTATCAGAGCATTAAAAGCAATTTTCAACCCGTCCACACCCACTCAAAGTCAACAACAACAACAGCAGCAACAAGGAAAACGTCAACATCATCATCGTCAACAACTACAACAATCCTCTTATTGTTATTACTCCTGTATCCTAGCAAGCATTGTGAAAACAATTGTGTATTTACTTGGTTTTCCTGATTTATGTTGCCATCATCATTATCATCATCGCCAACAACAGCAGCAGCAGCAGAATCAGCACACCTACATTTAATTGTCCCCATCGCAGTGATTTTAAAGGTGAGTACAATTTCAAATGTCTGATTTCATTTGTTCGACTTAATACATACATACCAAAAATTAACACTTTCAAGGTATCATCATTGTCCATATATCGATCTATGCGTGCGTCTGTGTGTGTCGGCGTATATCCATTCAAAGGTTTATTGGTCGATGGATTGTTTATGTTGCTAATAATTGATTGTTGCATGGTTGGATACGAATTTTTTTCATTGAATATATTAGTGCACTATGAATAGCTTTAATGGACCGTTGCGAGAACAGTGAATCAGTGCATATGCAATCAGGATTAAAGCAATAAACGAGATATTCGATTATCTTATAATTTGTACTCGTCGGTAGGCATATTTAGGATAGGTTAGGTTTAGCGTATGCGATCCCCATAATTTTGTAAACACTTCACCCGTAGACCCTGAGGTTCATTATGTTTGTCTTTTTGTAGAAGATGGTAGCGGTGCAATATTGATGGATAAGTATGTTACGTTTGCTTTCCAAGTCATCGAAAATGTCTAGCAAATTTTTAGAAAAAAAAGGGCCTACCTTAATAATTTATGTAGAGTGAGGAATTTATTCTATTGTATGGCATCCTTTCCGAGATAGGGCACCTGAATTTTGCATATGTTATAACTTAACGGTAGATTGACAGATTTACCGACTGTTACTTTTTGGGTGAATTGATAGGTTTAAATGTAGCTATGACCATGTACACGATATATCTTCATGTACCCGGGAATATCAAATATGCCCTCAAGGATAACTTTAGAGTTGAGTGATTAAATTACCACCAATCTATCGGATCTTTAGCGCTTGGTACACTTATAAGCTACAATTGTCATGTTTAGCGAAAATATATGCTTTAAATGGTTTGATTTTTAAAAAAAAAACTCCGTATGTGTGCGAACTACATCTACATACACTAACAGGCCGTTAAGAGGTTAATTAAGGAGAGTGCGATGTAGTCATTTACAAAACCAGATTCTACCATCATGGTTACCCATCCCATTTGTGAACAATGTCATGCGCTTGATTCCTTAAAGCTCAATGTAATGTTTGTCACTTAAACCTCACCAGAAGATTCAGTGGTTATATATTAAAGATTAGGTGTATGTCTCACACTCTAAGTGTTCTTAGGCTAAATAACCGCAGACCGTCTGCACACTATCTAACTTATCACCATACCTGACATTATATGTTAAGTTAAGACGATATTATTGAATAATCAGTCCTTTCTTACGGTCCAAGTCTCTAGATTTTACCTATGTCATTCGGAAGAAGTGTGGAGCTAAATGCCTTTTATTTTCCTTCTTCGATGTTCCTCTTCTAGCTAAGTCGTTGATTAAGAGTTTTACAAAAATGTTTTAAAATAACTCCATCCAGTGTGTGTTGTCAGAAAATGTCAGGCCATTATCCTTACAATAGTTTTAATGCTCTATCTAACTTACGTTATTAAAAAGGCCACCAATGTAAAGCCGAACATGTCTATGTTTATCTTAACGCAGTCAATCATCCTTAAGTAAACCTTGTTGAAGTTTACTGATTTTGTCTGCATTCAGGGGTTGTCAAAATCTCGTAACTTTTCCATTGCTTTCAATAGAAAGAGAGACAAATTGTTCTGTATTCTTAGGATAACGCTTGATTCGCCCTTACCACTTCAGACTTGAAGACCATTTTTACTTCTGTCCACAGAGTAGATACCGTAGAAAACCATAAACAATACCATATGATTATCTGCGGCATTTTGCATAATGGTCGATGATATACAGAGAGGAGATCTAAATGCAATGATCCTTAGACTGACGAGGCGATGTTTTGAATCTAAAATAACCAAACCTCTGTGCTGATCCCCACATATGTTATCCATGCGTCTGATATCTCCTCTATCCTGAAATAATGGATTGGTAGAATGCAAAAAAGCAGGACAATCGATTCAAGCTAAGCAGAGAGTCCTTACCAAAACTATCAGCAGAAGTAAATCGCAGGGAGGAGTTCCCTCACCCTGCTTTGGTTAAAGGTTTCGATCAATTTCGAATAAAGGCAGTCTCATATGTATACAACGTATTGGGGCCTTCCAACTATTTCAGAACTAATGCAAAGTGCAATTTGTACCATTTACAAAAAAAAAAAAAACATAAAATTGAATTGGATGGACTTACACTGAATAATTCTTTGAGCGCTAAGTACCTCCAGTACGATACTGGATCAACGTTTAAGGTGGAGTAGGGACATCGAGCAGGATTTTATGCATTAAATGTAATGCTAAAATTTCTAGCCACTGGAAATTCAAACATCAAGAAGTGCGGTGAGACTGCGGGAAAATTTAGGTAGGTCGGTGTATCCTACTCGTGTACCTTGACGTAACGATACCTGATAGGGACGCCTGGTAATTTACACATACAGTTTCAAGATGGACGAAGGTAACTGTGCTGGCATATTCTGCCCTAACAAAATTTTTAAACTCTCATATGAGCTAAATGACAATTTTAAAAATTTTCAGGCGTAGATTCGGCAATCGGCAATCGGGAAGGCAGTCGATAGGTCTTTAAAACTAGCAAGCAAATAACTATTCTTGACTGCAAGAAATCTATCCTTGAGATACTTGAATTCATTACACTTTGTTGGGTTCCAGGTCATAGTAAAATAGTGTAGAATGAAGTAACTGATAAATTAGATCGAGTTAGTTCTTAGTCGATTGAAAAGACTGTTAAAAAACCGCGAAGCTTTTATGTCAGCTGCTTCAAAAAGTCTCTCGTCGAAGAAGCTGGTAGAAAATGACACTTGCAAACTGGTGTTTTAAAAAACTTATCTACCCTAATCCGAAGTTTAATTTTATCTCATTTACTGGTTTTCACCCGGGTTGTGTAACGGTGAGCCTTTAGATAGAGCTTTCGTAATCGGTTGTTGTTCTTTGCACTTCCATTACATTTAACGAAAAGGGTTCAAGTTAGGTCGACTGTCTGTGAATCAACGCATTAGTCGATGCCTTATCGGAAATTACACCCATGCGTCCACTTATATTGCCATGTTCACCATTTGCCACTATCTATAGTTGGAGATTCAAAGATGAAAAGTAAGTTAACATAGATAACCATCCTATAACGTCCAAACCAAACGCTACTCAGTCTAGAGCCTAGAAAATCAAGAAATATTGCCTCTTTTTATATTTGGAGATTCAAAGATGAAAAGTAAATTAACATGGTTAGCCATGCCCTACAACTTCTGGAGCAAGCCAATTAAACGCTACAGCCACATATAAATATCATTTAATACGGCCAAAACATGCCTAATCGAAATAATCAAGTCCGTGGACCAAATCCGTTGTAGGACATTTTGAGTAAACTAAGGGTGTCCATCCGTCTTTCTGTCTGGCTGGATGATGGGCACAATAATCTGATTAGATCCAAATTTAATACATCGTAATATTATTATCAAACTTAGATCGAACTCGAGGCCAATATAGGTCCACTACTTCTAGTACCTCCCCCATGAAGTGTCAACATATTAAACAAACATGAAGCTCATAAAAGATAAGAAAGAAAAGATAATAGATACCGGCCCGTCCCTTCTGGTATCTCTTCCACAAAAGGTCACACTTTTCAATATTTGTATCTCTCGTAACTTGCAAAACTAGTCGGCGATTCTTTTCAAACTTGATATATCTAACCATTTCTCCACCATTTCTGGTACTTCCGTCACAAAAGTTAAATTATTATTTTAATGCTATATATTCGATTTTCGTTAAGTTTTGCACATCCCAGTATAACGTAAAGTCGATATAGTCCAAATCTGGCATGTTGTAATATTTATATCAGACTTATCAAGGGTATGAAGTACAAATATTTTTTTCCTATAAGAACATATACTTATAGGATAGATATATATTTTTTGTATTATATACAACACATTACCAACTAAACTTATTTGAAACTTATACAACAAGCTTCAAGTCCAACTTCGTCATGGATATGAGTGACCTTGATCTCCTTTCGGAGTTCACCGGCCTAATCTTTTTGCAAACATTACATCCGCTTCCAGTTAGCCAGTTCTGTAGATAATATAAGATAATATTTATGAAGTAATTGGAAGAAGAAGTAACTGAGCTCTCAATCTCTAGATCTACTAACTCAGATCCGCATCTGGCCAATTCATCGGCCGATTCATTGCCAGATATGTTGCAGGGTCCAGGGACCCAACAGAGTTTGGCAAACAATTTAACCTTTTCCAGAGCATTCCTGCATTCCAGAACTGCCATAGATTTGATTGTAAATAAATTTAGAGGCTTCAGGGTCGCTTGGCTATCGACATATATAGTCACCAATCCGTCCAGTTCATTGATTCTATTTGCCAGCAGCTCTATGACCTTCCTGACAGCAAAGAGTTCTTCCTGAAAAACGCTACAGTCGTTGTTTAGATTGAAGGATCGTTGGATACATAGACTTTCACAGTAGACCCCGCTACCGTTCCACTTACCATCTTTGACCCATCAGTGTAGACAGCTATACCGTTAAAAGGTGGAGTGTCGCTGGTCCAGATGCCCCTGTTAGGTATAAGGATAACAAGTAGTTCAAAGCTGTGCCTAGGTGATATATAGTCGCTAGATATAGCCTGATTTCCAATCGTTTCCACATACTTGAGAATGACGGAGTGTCCAAAGGGCTGACTCCGCCATTGTCCCAGTTCATTAAGTCGCTGGACACACCTAGCACCTTGTTACTCTACAAATAAACCTAACGGTTTAAAATTGAGTAGCGTGTCTAGTGCGGATTGGGGTGTGCTCCTAAACGCGTCTGTAATTAGTAACGAAGCAACTCTTTGGACTTTATCAATGCTTTTACTGAAGGTGGTTTTCCCTAAGGAGTGCCACCAAACAAGCCCCCCATAGGTTAGAATTGGGCGGACGACTGACTCATGTAACCATTTCAAGATGTGAGGCTTGATTCCCCAGCTTTTTCCTATGGAATTTTTGCAGGAATAACGTGCAATTAAGCAATTTCTGGTCTAGGATGGTAACGAGATATTTGGCTTCCGAAGAAAGGCATAGCATACCCCATCAAGTATTGGTAGCGAAAAGTCTGAGATTTTCCAGGTTCCAGGTTTTTCAGTTGTTTAGGTTCCTCTCTACACAACCAACGACGTCGTGTTGTGCTGATTCACCAGATTTGCCTTTCATATTGGCATGTTGAGCTGGGCTCAACAAGGTCAGGGGTATCATAGATCTAATCCATTCTATTTTTGGCAAGAAAATCATAAAACTGATCAGCGCTTATCGATTATTTTACGTTTAGGATTTGTTGACCCTAGCTTAAAATTGACCAATGATAGAGTGTTTTTGAATAGCTCCAAAAGTTCTTCCGGGAGCGAAATCTTAAATTATCCCTTACATATAGAATGAGTTCTTCGATACCATTTTGAAAGGTGGGTGTTCATTCTCAGAATAATTATTTTGAAGACACGAGAGATATCTCGCCAGCAGGAATTGTCCATTCAGCAAAACGATTTGTTGTCTGACTATCAGCATCATGGTGTCCCAAAGTAGGTGGTTATTTGGATTAACCTTCAAACTTCTTTGGGTTAACGGAATAACAAATGGCCTTAGGTGTCACTTGACTACCAACGCTTGTTTTCTATCTACTCCACCATACAATGGAGGATATATTAACTTGTAGCTCTTCGCAATAATCACGTTAAACCCAACAACTTTACTTGATGAGATAAAAAACTGCAACATAGTCAAACGCCATAATTTTTACTTTTTTGTTTAAATTTTATTGAATGAAAGCAAAAAATGTCGGAAATAGCATTAACTTTTAGAATAAGTTTAGATTTATTCGAATTGGTCACCCTTGGCACGAATTATAGCCTTCAAACGGCCACGGTCGCACGCTCCCCGAATGTTGCTCTGCGGTATTTTGGTCCATACCCGGCGAAGCGCTTGCTTGAGCTGATCGACAATTTGGTATTTTTTAGTGTCAACCTTGCTTTCCAACGTATTGGTACCTGGATATTTTTTTGGTAGCCATTGTGTGCTGGAAGTGAAGCGAGGAACCTCATTTCGTAACCATTTTGGGGGGGGGGGGGGGCGCGTTGTGAGTGCGATGGTGCTGAGTCCTGTGTCCTGTTTGAATGTCCAAGGTCTGCGGATAAATGTTTGCGTGCTTAAGGCTTAAATGCACCCTCCAGAATATTTTTGCGATAACATTCGGCATTTATTCTGATGCCACGGTCGAATAATACGAGCGGAGAGCGACCATCGGCTGTTATGACGGCCCACACCATCACCATGGCTAGCGCTTGAGTTCTGGTGGCCAACCGAATGTGCACATTTTCAGCTGACCTCTTTGGCAAGTAAATACGATCATTTTGTTTGTTTGCAAACTGCTGGACAACGAATGTTTACTCATCGGAGAAAACCAAATTCGGAAGTTCACCACTTTCGGCTAAACCAATCAACTCTTTAGCTCTTTTAAGTATATTTTCTTTCTGTTGCGGTGTAAGTTCTTGCACTTTTTGGAATTTCAATGGCTTAACCCCGAGCTCATTTTTTAATATTTGCCGAATGGAATATTGCGATATGTTCAGCTCACGAGTCATTTTTCGGCCACTGCGACGCGGATTTCGATCAAGTCGCTTCTTTACTTTTCAAACCATTTCTGCTAAGTTGCTGTTTACTTCCGTTCACTTCCTTGACGTGGGGCTACGCTACCAGTATCACATTAACGAGCGATGGTACGAGACACAAAAGATTTTTTCACATTTAAATGCTAGAGTGCTCTAACGATAGTCACTTGTGATTTTCCAGCCAAATATAAAAAATCACACTATCAAGCAATGAAAAATTTTTTTTGTAGAAAATTCTCAAAAAGGCTTTTGTAGGTTTGTAAACAATATAATGAGCTGTCACTGGAATAATTTTAACAGCTGTCGGACGAGTGGCTTTGAAATTACAGCAGTCTGAAATTGGTTGCAGTTTTTTCATTTCACCCTGTATATATTCTTAATCAACGAAAGTTTGTTAAACGATATCACCGAGCAAATTGATATAGAAGGCATTCTCCAAAACAATGTCGATGTAGCTTAAAATGTAACTCGTTTGTTTAATAAATTCCGACATTTTTATTTTTAAAAGTTTTAGTTATCTTACAGTTACCTTACCTTACTACTAAGTGCCTTTTTTTGAATGTTTAATTTTTAACACTACTTTTGTCTTGGTATATCACTGGAAACTATGAACACAATGAACTTGAAGGACTCCGATCTACGCGGCTACTAACTTTGGTGGCCCCTCGACTAAGAACCTTATGTAAACATTTTTTATTTCTGTATACAGAAAAGAAATTTAAATTATATAAATAATTAGATCATTGTTCAAGTTGACATATTTTTCGCGTATGTATTAGTAAAAATATAATTGTGTCCATAATTTGAAACTCCACTTAGTTAAAAAGTCGTATTATTAGGAAATCATGATAATCATTGAGTTTTAGTTCAATGTGGGTAGTTATTATTGAAATCTAATTTAGATTCTGATTATACAATTAAAGACATATCTATGAAGAGCAAAACATTTTTATATTGCAAACACTTTTGTATTGTATACATTTCCTCCTATTTTCATTGCAGCTTTTTACGTATGGCTATGTAATCGAACCCGTAACCAGTGACTGAAAATTTAGCAAACGTTGGGTTTACATATAAATGCGGCGGTGTGCAATATTGAAGAATTTATGAAAAATACCACGACTCACACTGCTAATCTTGAACGAACATCGTGATAGATAGACAACAGAAGAAATTGAATTATTAACACCTCAAGAATTTTACAGAGATTTGTTTCTAAATTGTGTTTTCGGCATTTCCCCGTTTACTTTTTTATGGTAAGTGTTACAAGTTGAACAATTCTATTATATTGATAACAGTGTTTAATGAAATTGAACAAATATGCCATCTTAGTAGTTGTTGGTAATCTTTTCATTATAAGAGATTAATATTACAGTTAAATTATTTAATTTGCTAGTTATTAAAAATGTTACGGAAAAGGAGGAGCATAACTATTGTCGCTTAAAAATCGAGACTGGCACTTTTTTACAGTTTAGATTTTGAACGAAATGATATTAGTGCAATAATGATCAAAACCAAACCCTTTGAATAGACTAACGAGATTCTTAAATCAAATATAAGTAAAGCAAATTGAGGAAGAGACTTTGCAAATCCAATCATCTTAATTTATATGAGTGTCTTTTCGATTTCGAGCATAAATTACATACCCCATAATGTCGTCAAATGTAAACCAAATTAAACCAATTATATAAAACTACAACAGAGGGTGTATGTAGGAGTTTTCATTTACAGTTCCTTTTAAAAAATAATAAATTTGTATGTTCAAGTACATGAACGATTTGTGGCCCATTGATTAAAATTGCTGATAGTTGTATCCAGAGTCGATGCGGTCACTATTCTTTTATAAAAAAATATTTGAACTATCGTATATTTGGTATCTGCAAACACTATAATATTCCAAAAATCGCGAAAAAAAATAAAAATAAATGTTAAAGATTGAAGTTTGTAGAAATAATTCAAAATAAAAGCAAGTATTGGATTCCAAAGAAGATGACAAGAGAAGATGTTCAAAGTGAAAAACGAGTTTTTTTTGTTGAATTCTATTTAAAATAAACTTTTAGAATTGATTGATAAATTTTTAGGATTGGAATTAATTATTTTTTTCGAATGTATTCCGCGAGTAATTGGTTCAGGGCCTAGTTTTCTATTGTGAAAGGTTATTAGCACACTATAATGAGCGACAGAGTTCAGAAATAGTAAATGATTTTGAACATTGAAATGTAAAAAGCATTTGATCGTTGTATTAGAGTCAGAATCTTCAATATGCCCAATTTTAAACCAAATGCTAAAATTTTGTTGTAATGGCCTAGATATCGCACTAAGTTATTCTTTAAAATTAGGTTACTTTCCCTCACCTTAGAACAAAATCTTTTGGAATTCCATTGCATAAATCAGATAGGTTATCTGATGTATTCAATTATAGATGTATTGCAATTCCAAAGCTATTTGAAAAATAGTAATTTTATGTCCTTGCCAACATGGTTTTCTAACGGCGGTATCGACTATCATAAATCTTATCCAATTCACATCCGTTGTTGTGAAGGACTTCATCAAGTGTAAGCAAATTGATGTAATTTAAACAGATTTCAGTAAAGCGTTTGATCGTGTCAATCACCAAATTTAAAAGATGGGACTTTTTTAGTATTATTAAAGGTTGTCATTCTACCAATCATGTTGGACCGGTCCAGTTTGTGAACGATTTATCAACTTCAATAAAATATTCTATGTTATACAGGGTGAGGTAAAAAAACTGCAAATAAGTCAAACCACCATCATTTTTACATTTTGTTGTTTAGGATTCATAAAACGATAAGCTAAAGAATTCTCTGATCCGAATCAAACAATTATTTGTATCGCTTATATGGTCTAATCTAGAATGCGGTTCAGTGATTCTGAGAGAATTGAATCAGTGCAAAAACAATTTCTGCTTTATGTGCTGAAAGATTTTCAATGGAATAGTGACTTTGTTTTTCCACCCTGGGCCAGCAGTCTAAAATAATTCCCATGCCTATATTAAAAATAGGCGTACTATGTTCAATACCATAATGACATTTAAAATATTAAATGGTGATGTGCCTTTTTTAAGAATTAATATCCCATTTAGATTAAACAGGCATTTGTCAATTTCAATACTTACTAATTTTCAACCATGGTACGGATCATAGACCACTATCAATTCAAAAGATATAAAGAACGCGCACTTCATACAACGTTAAGTTTTGCAGTCCATCATTCATCGTATTAATCACATTCGTTATTAAATCACTAGAAAATAAAAAAGTATGTATTTTTAACTTTAAACTTGTATTTTATGCCTCTCATAATCATATTTTGTGCGTGCTTTGCGCAACACTTTTCGACAATATGAATGACATTTTGTGAAATTTGCCCAATATCAACACATGACCATGAAATCACTGAAGGTACCCAACATACCACAACACAATACAGCTAGAGAATAATATTATAAAAATAGTTTGTCATAGCAATTTTTAACAATGCTTGAGAAAAACTTATGTTGCACAAACTTTTCTCAAATCTGCTCATTGTCGACAAATTAGCTTTGATTTTTTTTTTTGCTAAAGCTAAAAAAAGCTAAATCACGCGAATTCAGGACCCATTTCTGGACGAAACTCTTAAGGTAATGGGGAATAATAAATCGGAATCTGTGGTATATATTATTTCAATCTCATTTCAGAATGAATGCGTCAGAGACAGAAATGAATGAAACGTGTAAAATAATTAAAAAATGAAAAATAAATATTTTATACTATTACAAATACAAGCTTTATATAATATCACTTTCGTAAGCTTATTCTACAATTACAAGTAAAAGCTCATTTTGGAATGTTGGGTACTTACAACGCTGTAGGTTCTTCCGCTTTTTAACCAACTAAATAATAATCATAACAAACAAAATAATTTACATAAATTGAAGACTTTTAAAAATGTTCTAACAGTTTTAGATCTAAATGATTAAAAACTGAATCACAAAATATAAATAATAAATCGGGTCTTGGCAGACTCATTTTTTAGAAAAATTGTTTGTATCCAACAAGGGTTAAACAGACATTTCTTTAATTTTTAGTATACTCCTAAAAATATGCTACAAATAAGGAGAGTTGTGTTACTGCACTCACCACAATTACTGTTGGATTTATATTTCGTCTGATAAGAATTTGTATGCAAAGAAGTAGAAATTTTCCAACAGATAAATATTTTTTGTAGGGATTACATTTGCTAGACGTATATCTCTATGGCATATAGTGGATAGCTTTAGCTCGTAATTATCTTAGAGTTTTCGTTATTTTTTTGCATTAGTCTATGCTTTTAACAGATAAGAAAGAAATATTCAGCAGATTAAATTAAAACTTGCGGCTTGGGTTTGATGAAACATTTTCCATATTTTTTATTCAAACGTTCCCTTTCCTCACTTTTCCACCCCTCCCGATCAAGTAGTGACCTTCCTTTTCGTAGGGACTGCGTACACATCATAATAGGAATTGGGTAGGGAATCGAACATCAGTTATGGAATCTACTATATCAAACAACAAGGAATGTAACGCAAAAATAATCTCACCCTACAAAATGGCAAACTAAAATCGTTGCTTTAGAAATTCCTTCACGTCTACAGTTTTGCACAACGCTGTAACACTGACGCAAACACTACCAATATCCTTTTTTCTGCTATTTGCCAATTCAATAAAGTATTTCCTTTGTGTATTCAAGTGTCAAAATATGCGTGCACACCGCAAACGAAAATATGAATCAATACAAAAATAAGTATGCTTGGAGAATGGAGAAATGGAGAATGCAGACTAACGTCGTCGGCAGTATGTAGTAAGAAAATTCGATTACCTTCACAGGCTTTAACCAAAGATCTTCTCACTCACCTGAGTGGGGGAGTCTTATTCACCATATGATGGCGTGGATGAATCCCACGAAAAAACCCAATGCCGTTATGCTAACGTACGGGAAAAACCTTCGCCTCCTCATGTAGATGGAGGCACCCTGTCGCAGCACTCAGTATTCTGCCAGGTCTTGATACTCTTCCACTGGCACTTGTATTCGCACACCACACTGGGGCCGCATAACTGACCATAGAGGTCAGCAAGGTCTTCTTGTTCGCGACACAAGTACTGCAATTTGTCGCAAATAGATTTGGCTTGCGGAAGAAGACTTTAACATGCGATTAAATGTGACCCCTAAGATCTTGGGTAGTTCGTGGTCGGAATTATGTGTCCCTAATCCTACACACAGGAATGCCAGCTGTTCCGACGTAAATATCACTAAAGATACGTTTTTTAAAAACCACCATAGATCGCTACTGACTAAGACTGAATAACACTATAAAAACCCACCACAAATCTAAACTGACTTAGACCAACACTATGAAAATTTGTAAAAACGGCAGAAATAATCTTTCGTTACACCGAAAGAAGGGAAAAAATTATACATATTTTCAGTTAATTTTAAATAATTCTTTCGAACGTTCCCACGCCTCACATTCCCACCCCTGCCGACCGAGAGGGGGCGACCTCCCTTTACGGAGGGATCGCGTACACATCATGATCCGCATCATAATGGGAATTCAGTAGGAAATTGAAAACCAGCTACCATAGATGGCCCGTCGGAAATTATGACGTATCTGACATACATTTCCGACGTATATTACATACGTCGGAAAAGTCGTAAACCTACCCGATAAAACAAGGTTTTTGACAAAAATAGGAACGAAATAAAAAACACATTTGTCTCTTAAAATCCAATTCAGTTTTTCTTTAAAATATTTGTTTTGTTAAACAGGAAATACAAAAACATAACAAACTTAAATAATTCATTTAAATTACATTTAAAATCAAAGGCCTCTAAGCAGGTACATACTGTTATTACAAATTATTTTGTAATTTGTTTCGTTTAATTTTCGTTTTCGCTGGAATCAGTATCCTCTATATACTGCGAGACGTCTTTTGTTTCATTTATTCTTAAAGAAAAATAAACTTCTAACAATTTCTGAGTCTAATCTGTTCCTCAAATCGGTATGAACATGTGTCCAATTTGAAAAAATACCCTCCAGCTGAGCTGTTGAAGCTGGTATCATGAGCAATTTTTGTGCAAATGTCGCTAATGATTTGTGTCTATTTGCAGCCAATTCCCAGAATAGCCCAGGTTTGGATGTTTTTTCCAAAAGTAAGGCAAAAAATCCTGCCGCATTTTTGTATTCTGAAAATGATTGTAATCCATGTTCATCAAGATT